AGAGGACACCCTGAACAAGAGGCACAGGATGCAACAAGGGAGGGAAATCCAGCATCTGAAGAGCCTCAGGAAGCTGAGGTGGGAGGATTGCAAGCTCCAGCCCAGCTGGCCAACTCAGCAAGACCTGTCTCAAAATCAAAAGTAAAGAGGGGGCTGGGGTGTGGCTTAGTATGAAGTAGGTTCAACCCCTACTAGCAAAAAAAGTAAAGAAAGAAAAAAAAAAAAAAAGAAAGAAAGGGAAAAGCCCATCTCCCAGGAATCCCCTTATGGCTGCCTCAGTCTCCCCAGGGGCTGGAGGATGATGTGCTGCATGAGGATGGGGAGAACAGCCTGACCTTCGAGGACTGGCAAAGAAAAGTAATGAGTATTGGTGAGGAAGTGGTGAGCTGAGACACCTCGGGGCAGTGGGGACATCGGGGACAACAACTCTTTACTTCCTCCATAAGCACTGTCTAAGTCCAGGGACGTGGCGTGTCCTACAGGCAATTCTAGCAGTGCCAAGGGGCCTGTGGTCATGGGGCCCTACAAGATGGGGACCGCAGAGACATAGGAGTGCTCTGTGAGCAGAGGAGATGGCCATGCACCCCTGTTACTTCCACCTAAACCCTCCTAGAATGGGAGCCATGACTATCCTGGGGACCTCTTCTTGGGACCCCATCCAGTTTCTGAGTCCATGGGCCATCCTGCAGCCCCTGGAGAGGTGAGACATGGCAGGCTGGGGCTCTGAGGACCTCCTGGCACCAGCCCCAGCCCCACCACCCACCCACGTGGTGATGCAAATGGGATCTGGACAGGAAGGAACTCATGCAAGCCAGGCGGGGCCGCTGCTGCTGGGAAGCCAAGGCAGCCAGCCCCATGGGGGTGCTGGGCCAGGGCCACCCCTCCCCAGGTGTCTGGCACAGATGCCCCCTCCAGCTTCTGGCTGGAGCATGCAGCAGGCTTCTGGGGTTCCCAGGACAGGGGAGGAGGAGGAACGCCCTGTCCCCCACAAAGCATCTGAGGACAGCTGAGCTGTGGGACTAAGGTCAGGGCTTCCTGGCAAAGATTTGCCCAAGCCCAGATGGAGGCACAAGTACCTCATCCAGGTGGAGAACAGAAGCCATGTCTAGTGCCACCTGGTCTTTCTGAAGAGCCTAGCCTCTCCACCCAGCTGTCACTTGGACCTGTCTCTCCAGAGTCTCACCAGACAGAGGCCACGTCTAGAGGTGTCCCACCCTCATGAGCTAGGTAATTCCAGATAACTCCCAGCCCCACAGACAGGACACTGAGACCCACCCTGCCCACCTCCAAAGCTAAGCTCCAGGAAGGGGGCAGCCAGACCCCACTGAGTCCCCCGCTGGGAGACAAGACAATGTCACCTAGAAGCACAGGCATACATAGCACTTCCCACCCCAGCTCCTTTCCACCCTCTTCAGCCCCAGGGCCCTCGACAGGCTCCCTCAAGAGAACTGAACATGGGTGTCCAGTGCCTGAGAGGTAGCTGCAGCTTTTCTGCCAAGTGAGGTGTAACCCACAGGGCCAAAGCCAGCCCAGTTCCTGCAGCCACCAGGCCTTGGACAGACTGGCCAGTTCAGGCCCAGTCCTCCCTTCCAAATCACCTCAACCATGCTGCCCATCACCAAGGTGACCAGGGTGGGGCTGCAGGCACAGTGAGCTATAGGGTCAGCTCCTCTGCAGGTGGACCATGGTAGAGGGGGCCACATGGTTGCCACTGCATTCTCAGGCCCTGGACCCAGCTCCAGAGGGCAGTGGGTGGTAGGTAAGAGTGGTGTTGGTCTCCTTTTTGTCTTCAGTGTCGCCTGGGAAATAAAAGGTCACCAGTACCCGGAAACCTAAGCAAGGAGCCTGGAGCTGGGGAACTCGGAGGACCCCAACGGAGACATGCACATTCCCACTCCTCACACTGGTGCCTTACACACACAGGCACCCACATGGACACAAACGTGCATGCCCCACAGCCATACGTGCAACCATGTCTTCACATACTTGTGCTCAAACACACGCAAGTATGTCTACCCTGGCACCACCCATTCATGTGCTCATATATAAATTCAGTACACACTTGCACACACACAAGCACATACACATCCTCCTGTGTGTGCACCTCTTACAAAGAGAGCCACGTGTTCACATGCGCACATCTTCCTCACACTGACCCCATCACCACCATCCTGAAGCACACACAGGCTCACAGGGGAGCACCAGCCCTCACTATGCAGGGACCCCCACGGGGCTCCCCAGAACTCTCCTAAGACCCTGAAACCTACCTGGCTTGCCCCTCAACAAGTTGTACTGAAATCAACACCCAGGCACCAGGGAGGCCCAGGAAGAAATTAAGTCTTGCCAGCATGACCATTGCTGGCAACAAGCCTGTTCTAACATACAACAAGCCCTCAGCACCCCCTTCTCTCCCAGGCAACCTAGGGTCTGCCCCAAGGTTGGCCTCAAGAGGTGTGGGAGACCAGGATGACCCCGAGCCCCATGCATCCTGTGCCCATGGTAAAAATCCCGCAGCTGACAGCTGGCTGAGGTAGGAGGTTGAGGTCCCATGGGGTCCTCACTGCTCTGTCCCTAGGGCTGGTTCCTGTGCCACACAGATTGCCCTCCCTGCACAGACATCAGCCCACCTCGGCCCCAGCTTCAGCCCCCTGACATGCTTCCCTTGACTCCTAGTCACCATGGGACCCAGCCCTGATACCACCCAATACCGGCAAGGCAAAGGGGCTGTGAGGCTCGGCTCTGCACCCAGGAAACCCACAGGTCCCCAGTTAGATCAGATTGCATTGTGACTGGAATTATTTTTATTTGGGACTTCTGGGCTGCCAGTCGAGGGAGGAAAACAACTCATCAGATCTAGCTCCTGAGCAGAGGAACCTAGTGCTGTGCCCACCAAGGGGCTCATGAGCGGAGAGAGGTGGCTAAGGCCTCAGAAGCCTTGGAGCCACAGAATAGCTGGGGCAGGGTCCAGGCCAGGTGTAGTTGCAGTTGTAGGCAACTCTGTGCCTGTGACCTACCTGGCAGGGGCAGGTCAAATGGAACTAGCACAGGCTGAGAGCTGGCACCCACCCAGCTGAGTACCCCCAGGGGCCAGGACTGGCCTCTTAGGAATGGCTGCTTGGCTCTGATTCCAGTTAACTTCCTGGGTGATCAAGACACCTGCATCCAGTGCTGTGCTTGTCACTGCTTAGAACCCTGGGTTCTGGAGGAGAGACAGGGGACAAATCTCTGCAGCTATAAATATGCCCACCAACAGTTCAGGTTGCACAAAGCTATAGAGTCAACTTGGCACACCCTGCCGTACCCATCACCAGGCAGGACAAGGCTGCTGGGAAACCCACAAGCAACGAGGCTGGGAGACATAGGTATTTGACAAGAGCTATCCAGGGTGTATCAGGGCTTTAGAGAGCAACAAGAAGGTTCGGGCGGCATTCACAAAGGGGACTCCACAAGGCCACCAAGCTCCTGGAATGGGGCTCACTGTCTCTGGCCATCAGGAGACTGGACCTCACCTGGTGCTTCCAGGAAAGACAGGCTCAGAAAAGGTCACCCATGGAGGACATGGGATGCGGAGCTCCAGGGAGATCCTCCTCAGGGCCCATGAATGTGAAACCACATCCCAAGGCCATGGCCTACCTGTACACACACATCAAATGGTACAGGGCACGTGTGACAAGAGACCATGTGACCTGCTGAGGGGACAGCACACAGAATGGCTGACTTCAGACAGGAAGCAAATCTGAGGGCTCCAAGACTGGAGCAGCCAGGGATGGGAGTGATGGCTAATGGGTATGGACAAAATGCTCCAAAATTGGCAAAGGTTATGGCTGTAAAAATCTATGAATCCTCTACGCTAACTGGAGGGACTTCAGGGTATGCAAGCTTAATCTCAGTGTGGGTAAGGGAGCGGGGAGGGAGGCCTCACCTCGGTGCTTCCAGCAGCACCTCATGGAAGGGCCCAACTCCAGACAGAGCCAAAGGCTCAGCTGCCAAGGAGCAGATGGGTCATCACCAGGACTGGCAGTGCAGTGGCCCAGGAGCGATGCAGGGTCGCAGCCAAGGGGCTGCCAGGGCTGGGTGCACTGTCACATGGATGAGTCCAGTTGCAGCAAATCCACTAAGATGCCAGCACCTGTGCCAGGGGCTGTGTTCAGCTTAGAACCCTGGGAGTTCCAGTGGGAAGCCGGGAGCTCAAGAAAAGACTGCTTGGGCCAGGACCACAGGCCAGTGATGGCTCCAGGCAGCAAACAGAGCAGAAACCTAATGGGACAGGAGCCCCAAAGCTGCCACATGCCTTTACCAAGTGATAGCCCACCAGATGTGTCCTGGCCTGGCCATGGGCTGATAGGTCACCCTGAACAGGAACAACTGGGTACAAGAACTACAGGATCCTTGCTAAGGGAAACCCCAGGTCCCTTGTTCACAATGTGAAGAACGTCGAGCCAACAGGGTAGAGTGGGAAGCTGGAGGGGCTCAACTGTGTGCAGCACTTCATAGAGGACCCTCCCTCCTCACGGTTTTGCTGGTCTCTAAGAGTGGTCTGAGGGCACAGCTGTGGGACCAGACACCCCATCCCTAAGCTGGCTACAGGCAGGTCCTTTCCACCTTGAGCTCGAGGCCAGCTGCCCAAGGCTGTCTGATGCCAGGTGCCCAAGCAAGAGACCAGGAAGGACTCCCTGGTAACCTAGGCCAGTGGGTGGAGCTGGGCTCCATTCCCTGAGCAGAGAGAAGGCAGGATCACCTTTTCATCTTCAGGGGGTGGGGCCAGAACAGGCATGGCCACCCCCCAGGGGTGACCTTAGGACTGAGCGGCTTGCAACCTAACCTCAGTCACCTATAACGGGTGACCGACCCCTGATGCCCAGAACTGCCTCCTGCACATGCCTGGCACACTCTCATATGGCCATGTCCACTGGCAACATCCTTGCTAGAGCAGAGGCCCACAGTTTCCCTCCCCACCCCAGAGTGGCCTGCATCTTCCCAGAAAGCCCCATGCACCCTACCAGGTCCGGTGGCTGCTCCCACGTAGCTCCAACTGCAGCGCTGCCCAAGGTAACCCCCACCCACCTTTGGGCCTGCCACAGAAAGGCAAGGGACGCTGTGTGACACTGCCTATGGTGACATTCTCAGGCAACCATCCACCCAGACAGGCGGCCTGGGAACTGGCTGTGGCCCGCGTCCGCTGCCCTCATTTCCTCTGTCAGCTTCCTCTGTGGGGGGTGGGGAGGCTGTGGACGCTCTCCTATGGCCACTGGCTCCTCTGTGACTTCCAGGCAGAGCCAGCCAACGGGTCTAGAAACCAATAGTCCACAGGGACAGCACAGGAGTCTCCCCTGAGCTGAGCCCCCTCTGAGCCCCCTTTGTCCTGGCCAGCTGGAGAGAAGACAGCAAAGCCCAGTGGCCCTGGACAGAAAGCCAGGGTTCCTGGCACTGGTCTGCATCAGACTATCCAGGATGAGGTCAAGTTGGCTTCCCCATGCCCAGCTTTAGCCCCAAGATGCCCAAGACAACAAGAGAGGGGCAGCAGGAGACTTGGTTGGGACACATGGCCAGGGACAACCCTACCTGCCTTGTCCCTCTAGCCCACCTCACCTCCAGGGACCAGGCCAGTAACCTCTGCTGCACACTGCTCCACACGGGTCTGGGGAGCTGCCACCAGTCCACACCCTTCATGGCACAGTCCAGTGAGCTAGTGGGCTCCGAGGCCAAAATGCACCCTGGAGCCCAAGTAAGGCCCTCACCTTACTCCAAGGATATCACACCCAGGAGTCCTGTCACCTGCCCATAGTCGCTGAAGCAGGAGAAGCCACCAACTCTGGCCCTAGAAACTGTGTTCTGAAGACCAGAAGTCTGAGACTGAGGCACAGGCAGGCCTGTGCTCACCCTAGTGTTTCAGGGAAAGGTCCTTTCTCGAGTTCCAGGTGTCCCCTGACTTATAGATGTATCATTGTAGTCTCCACCTCCCTTTTCATACAGCAATTATTTTACTTTTCTTGTTGCTCAGACAAAATACCCAACACCCAAGGTGAAAGTGGGAAAGGTTTATTTAGCTCACAACTTGCAGAGGTTTCAGTTCATAATTGGCTGGCTCCAAGGCAGGGTGGCTTGGCAGGCAGGCATCACAGAAGAGAAACAGTTCATGGTAGGCGGAAGGTAGCAAAGCAACAAGGGACAAGACAAGCCTCTTTGTGCCCCTCTGTTGTATCCAGGCTGCCAGAACTGGGGCAGTGCCAAACCACTCAGGGGACTGATTTAGTAATCACCCACCCTTAATCCTAGCATTGCACCATGAATCAGTCACACACTCTAGACCACGCCACCTCTGAAAAACCTCACCTATGATTGCATGAGGCTTTGGGGGACATCTGGACACAAGCCACACGAGTCATCTTCTGGTGTGTCTCTGTGTCTGCCTTACACGGACACCAGCCACTGAATTTAGGGTTCCCCCTTCTTTAGTATGACTTCATCTTAACTAATTACATCTTCAAAGGTCCTATTTCCACTGGACAGAGGTGTGAACCTGTAATCCCAATCCTCTGGGAGACTGAGGCAGAAAGATCTTGAATTTGATTGATTGATTGATTGATTGATTGATTGATTGATTGATTTTGTAGTACTGGGGATTGAACTCAGGACCCTGTGCTTGCCAGGCAAGAGCTTATTCTACTGAGCTATCTCCCCAGCCCAAGATCTTGAATTTGAGTCCCCCCTAGACAGCCTAGTGATGCACTTTCCCCAAATAAACAACAAAAAGTGCTGGAGATGAGTGCAAAGGTCCTGTGTTCAATCTCCAGCGCCACAAAATAAAAAGACCCTGATTCCAAATAAAGGCCAACACTGAAGTTCTGGGTAGGTATGAATCTAGGTGTCACCATTCAAGCCAGCACAAACCACAGAGCCTCTTAGGTAGGACCTGGGGCACAGGGAGGAGCCATCATATCCAAGGGAGCAGGCTTCTCTGGCCACAGGTGAGAGACAAGGATGTGAGGGGTCCTCATTCCCTCCGGGACAGCACTGCAAGCTGAAGCTGCCAAGCCCACTGGACAGAGAGATGCCAAAACTCAAGACGCTTGTTTGTGGTCACAGTAGGGCCAGGGCCAGGCTGTACTCTTTCAAGGAGAAGAGCAAAGGCTAGGGACAGGGCAGGCATGGAGGGGGTTCTGTGCAAGGTGGCACTTGGGGGACCAACATGTTCCAAAAGGCACAACAAAGACAGAGCCGCCCAGCCAGCTCCAGGGACTCAAGCCTGCCAAAGCTGGGCCACCAACGTGCCCAGTTCAAAGTCACCCAGGCCCCGGGGAAGATCTTCCCTTGGGGAGAACTAGGTCCCAAAACAGCCCCAAGTATGGGTCCTGATTAACCGAAGTTGTTGCAGGCACAGACAGTGGATGCCGCAGTCCAGAGAGGGAGAGGGTGGCACCAAGAGGGGGCCCAGCGGGGCGACTGCACACTTGGAAGAGCAGGCCCTGTGCCCACACGTCACACAAGTGGATGTGTACGGGAATGTGCATGTACAGACGCATGTGAGTGTGTCGTACTGGGCTGTGTGAGCCACCTGCACTGCATGTGCATGTGTGTGTGAACCCAAGTGCCTCCTGTGCAGCCATGGAGTTTGAGGAAGGCTGGAGGAGGGCAGGAGCCCCAGGTGGTGGGCGAGAAGCAGCCCTGCTGAGAGAGGAGCATGGCCTGGCTTTCCAGAGTATGCTAGGAGGCTGCGACTCACACTCAAGGCATCCCTGGTGTCAAGAGCTGGCCGGCAGGGGCGCCTGCTCTGAGATCAGGCTTCTCCAAGGACCCCCCAAGCCTGCCCTGTGTCCTCAGGGCCCATGGGAGGGGCTGTCAGAAGGCAGGGCCTGGACAGCCTGGGCTTTAGCCAGGCCCCATGCTCTCAGGCTATGTGAAAGGGCATGCCAGAAGCTTCTGGTTTTCATAGAACAGCTGTATCCCTAAGCCAGAAAGCAAGACTCCTGGGGAACACCCTGGCCCCAGTCTCCCTGAGTATATGTCTCCTTCTCCCTGTTGAACCAGACCTGGCTGGGCGTGCATGGCCTCCTCTGCCTCACAGTCACTGTGGGCCCCAAATGTGCCCAGCGTACATACAAAGGAAGGAGCCACCATCCTGGGGGTCATGAAGTGCTCACCAAGTAACTTCTACGTGGGGTGAGGACGTGGGCAGGGGACAGGACAGGAGCCAGAGACTGGACCTGTAGAGGAGCAGCTGCATCCTCTGTGAACTGCCACCAACTCTGAGTACCACTGCCTGTCCATGGTGACACCTATCCCAAAACCAAGGGAGCCACACACCACCAACCTCTCCAGCACAGGCACCACTGCAATTTCCACCTCTCAGATAAGGACACAGAAGTACAAAAGGAGCGGAAGGTGCTAGAGAGCAGGAGTGGGGCAGGGAGCCAGCAGGCAAACTCAGCCTCTCAAGGTGCAGGACAGCCTGAGCCCCCACACCTCCACTGTGCCCAGGATCACTCCAGACCCAGGACCTGAAGCCACAGAGGGAGGGTCACACCAGTCAATTTGAGGCTGGGAGGAAGGAATCCAGCCCTAGTCAGAACACTCAGAAGAGATAAGCCCCACTCCCTCCCAGCCCAGCCACCTGGTTCTCTAGGAGGCCACCCATCAACCTGAATTTCTCAGCTTCAACACACCCTGCCCACTTGGTCTCCTCAGGTGAAGTTTACTGGTGCAGAGCTGAGCTCAGAGAAGCTGGGTAACTGGCCTGCTGCAGAGAGGCCACTGGGTCACAACTGCCAAGAAATCTGCCATAGTCACCTTTGCCCTGTGTGCCAGAGAGCCAGTGGCAGAACCAGGCCTCAGAGGAGGCAGCGCTCCTGGGGATCACCTGAGTGGTCTGCACTGCCCAGAAGTGGATAGCTAGGCCTGGCCCCTAATACTGCATTCTGCCCAGTATGGCTGCTGGTGGTAGTGGGCAGCCCCATCCTTGGACCTATCGCGTCCACCCATGTGATCATGACGGCTCTACTCTCTGGGAGACCATCAAGTCCTGTCACAGGAGAACACTGTACATGGGCACAGCACACAGCCTGGGAGACAGGACCCTGTGCCTACACCAGGGCCTTCAGAGCAATCCCATAAACAAGCCACCACCATAGACAGCATGTCCCCCTCCGGGGGTCAGCAGCCCCAGTAGGAAGCCAGAGCTATACAAGATCCAGAAGGAGATTTCTCTCTCCACTTGGGATGGGAAGGCCAGCAGGCCACTGTGCAGAGGTGAGCCGCAGTACCCAGGCTGTGTCCCATGCAGGCGACAAACCTCCACACCCCTCCCACTTCCACGCCCCTTCCGTCTCTAAGTTTCCACACCTCTCCACATCCACCTACCTCTGTGTGCCTCTACCTTAGGACCTTCCACCTCTATCAACCCCCGTAGCTCTCCCCACCCACCCTTGAGGGGCCCTGCTCCACTTGCCTCCACACCTGCCCTCACCTCACGCACCTCCACACACGCGTGACTCTGCGTACCTCTCACCTCCACACCTGCACCCGCTCCACACCTCCACACCTCTGTACCTCCACAACACTGGTCCTGACATGCAGCAGGTACTCCCCAAGCATTGCACCTCTGCCTAGGCCTCACTGCAGCCACCATTATCCTATCTTACAGATGGGAAAATGGAGGCCTAGAGAGGCAAAGATGGACAAAGGAACTTCATGGGGTCAGCGGCCTCTGAATACTGGGTTAAGTCATTGGGGGAAGGGAGGGAGTCTCAGCTCTCCTGTCTAACGCACATAGGGACTGATGAAGCCCCCGAGGCCCCACCATGTGACCCCAGGGGCTCCCTCCTCCCACCATCACCACCTTCCTGGCTGAGAGCCACAGCACCCACCTGAGCACACAGCTCTGGCCCGAGGCCTCCCCAGGCCTCCACACAACTCCTTTCTCCCCTAGGTCATCTAGACACAATGTAATTACACTGATCACAGCTGTCTGCACACATGTGCAAGAGCAGCAAAGAGCTGCTCATCCTTACGGTGGGGGAAGGGCCTCTCCTGCCCTGGACAGCCCTATCCAGGGGCCCCAGAAGAGCCAGCCTAAGCCCAGGCTCAGTGGAGAGCA